TATCATACCACAAAGGACTTATCTTCTGCAGTCGCAGCAAAGTTTAGGTTGCCTTCGCTCACCCCGCGTTAAAAGGGTATCAAAATATGTTTAAGTTAGATCCTTGCACAGGACGTGAAAACAACAACGAGACTAGTTTCCTGTCTATTATAAAGTCATTTTAAAGTATTTTTAAACTATTTATCAACCCTAAGTTATTTAGCCTAGGTATAATTGAATCCTCATAATTTTAAAGGCACTAGTCAACTGCCAAAAACCTGTTGATCATTAATCTAAGTTATCTTTAAAGATGTCAAAGCTTAGGATAAAGTTACATTTATAAAAATAACTAACAGTCTAGACATGTTAGCTAGTTAAATGTTATACCAAAGTATAACGAAAAAAAAAAAAGTAAGAGTAAAGGTTTCCTCTTTGTTTCAACTGATGACCTGTTAGAACGAAGTACAGGCGAACTTAAGGTCGTCCCAGAGGATACTGCCGGCCTTTCCTGGATCACAATATATTAGAAAAGAGGGTTAAAGTGTTTTTCTTTTAGGTTTTCACTTTTTTTTCAGAGAAAGAAAGTCAAGATTACTTATAATAGGCCTATACTACTTTTATGCATTTGGATATATTACTTTTTTTTTTATCACTACCTATAAGCTAATATTGTGGTTAATGACAGCTTTTCTTTTCAAGTAAAAATTTTGATTTTGATAGTCCGAATTTCTATAAAATTTTGTAACAATTTGAGATAATATAGGTTATTATTATTTATTTTCACATTACATAGAAATATCCGAGATCAATTTTTTTAAGGCAAAGCATATAGAAGGCCTTTACTACGTCAAGTCCAGTATAACTTCGTTAGTGTTTTCTTTCAAGCGTTAAGAGATTTCTTTGGATCTTTTATAGTTTATAAAAGACGTGCATTAAAAAAGAAAAATTAGATTCAAAGCTTACGTAAGTTAACTTTGAATTAAAGAATTACGTTTCAATAGTAAAATAGTCACTAGATAAAATGTTTAATATGAAGTTATAACTTATAACATTAGCTTGGGATATTTACAATTGTATTAAGTTTATAAATAATTATTGAAATCTATCGAGTGGAGCAGGTAGTTACTTTATATCGGTTATAACTTTCCAACGACAAGGGGGTCTAAGTACTCATTTTCATTATATATTTATAAATAACTATGAAAGGATGTTACCCACAGATGACTACTAAGCTATAAATTATAACATAAATATATATTACCGAAAAAAAAATAAGTAATAATTAATTTATAAGCTGTATTAAACTCCGCCTTAAAAATAATTTAAATTAAAAAAAAAAAAGCACAAAACAATATAAACATATATTAATAAAGTATAGTATAAATACTTTTATTACTGTATAGAAATTGTTTAAAAATAATAAAAAATCTATCTTATAAAGGGTTTTATCACTTACTGCTATTAAAAATAAATTATCTTAATACGTATTATATAGAATAATACTAAAAGAGGAATAGGTATTGAAGCTGACTGTATGCAGTGTAAAGCTCCTGCCTATAAAAGGAGGGTTAGGAAGTTAGAAGCGTAGTTATTCAATAGACCAATTTCCCCCCTCGCAGTTAATAACTGTAACAATACTTTCTAATTCCTAGGTTACTACTTAGTAAGGATATGAATTGACAAAAATTGGGAGCAGGTGACCTCTGTATACTATCCTAGCTTTTAAATATATAACGTAGTAATAAAGACCACCCTTCTCGTACAATCAACTCCTTTACTTTTAAATAAAACTTAAATGGGAGATGTACCGAACCTTAATACTACAGTCATCTGAGTAACCCAAAATGTACATAATATATCATATTTATTTTATTTTTATTTTTTTATTAGACTAGCAACTATAAGAGTTACGAGTAAAATGAAAAACTGCTTAATTTCTCCTAGTGAGAAAGTAAGGGAGGGCTGGCCGTTTCCCCTAAAGGGACTGCCTTTATAGGCCAAAAATATTGAGCCCTCCAAAACTAACAAATCCTCTGTAAAGACAATTTTTTTAATAGCTTAAAAATAAATCTTCTATATTTTTAACTATGAACATATAAAAGTTATAAATAAACTTAAGATTTTAGTACTTTATATTAAATGTTTTTATAACGCTATAATTACTATCATTTACTGTAATGTTATTCTATAACTATCACTATATTATTATAGGTATTGTAGTTATCGTTATAGTTTTGTATACCGTTATTATCAATGGTGTGATTATAAAATTTTTTTATTTAAAGTTAGTTGTCCACACAATAAGGTGTTTTCAATTAAGAAGTAACTATAACCCATTACAGGAATCTTTAACTACTATTAAGTCTTACTAGATAAGTGCCTAGTATATTACAAAAAAATGCTTCAGCTTCGCTCTTACGTTGTAATTTAAAAAATTTTATAAAAAGAAGGGCTATAATAACATTACTAAAAGACTGTTTAATATTAATTGTAGTCTATGAAGGAGGCATAAGCAGCTAATACAACTAATAACTGTTCTAAATATGGCCGGTAAATGTTTAATTAGTGGTTAAGGTCAAGATTAACGTAGTATTTCTGCATATTTAAAGTTTTAAAGTAAGCTTTTCAAATTAGTTTGTGTTTAAAATAAAGTTTAAATTTATTTAGAGATATTTAGTAGTACTGAATAAAAATCTATTTACTTAGTGGTCTTTTAGCACAAAGTTTTCTTATGACTTTTTTTTTACTTAAACGCCATTTGGAAGTTTTAGTTTTATACTGTTCTATTCCTATAGATTAAAACTTTAAACACTATATCTGGGCAACTAGTCTAACTTTAAGGCAGGATAATAGAGACGCGAAACAATTAGTGAGAAAGGCAAAAAAACGCGGAGCTAAAAGCTAGCTAGTCACAAACGTTTTGTAAATATATATATCTATATACTTTACATGTGTGGTGCTATTAACTTTACAGCTACCTTATTAACATCATTCAGCTAACCCTCTCCTTATTGAGTCGCAAATCAATGCCGTAAGGAGATTAACTTCTAAACAGTTTTTTATTTTTAACGGCATTAGGTGGTTAACTTATTTATTTCATGAGAAGAGACCTGAAGTAGAGATAAATCTTTAATTATTTCTTCCTTTCTTTGCTTTCAGTGGAGAATGGCATGGGGTTTTCCGGGATTAACCGTTACTTACCACTTTGTTTACTAACCTTAAATTAATAAAGCTTAAATAACTACAAAAGTTATTAATCTCGATCTACAGTAAATAACAGTGCCACCTGTTAACAAAGCTAAGAAAATTTTCGCGGTAGGAGAAGTATAATAAGATAGATGGTAATAAGGACTCCTGGAGAATTAAAGATTTAATAATAAACGCTATAGTTCTGTTTTTACTCGGACCATAAATTATTTATTAATAAATATGCTCGCAAGAGAAAATTTATATAATGCATAACAGGTCTTTTTTCTTTTCTTTTAAATAATAATGTAAGTTCATGATGTAAATTTGTAATACACACCTAAGTTTTCCCAATATATGAGCGAATGAAGTTTAACTATCAAGTAAATTTGAAAAAAATTTATAATTTTTAAGCCAAAGATAAGGCTGGCTGTAACGAGCCTGAGATCGTATGGTTCTATGAAGTTTGTAAAGAGCATTGTGACAAACAAACTCGGACAAAAAGAAACAATATACGTTTTAGAACTAGAAATTAGGACAAATCTTAGAAGTAAGGTTCTTAAGAAGGATAATACAAACTTAGAAATTAGAGCAGGAAGAGGCAAATAACTATGAAAAAGAGACAGAATAACGGGAAAAGGACCACCTCAAATACTTGTTCGGGCAAAATTAGGAATCACAGATATGCATTTAAAAAAGCATGTTAGAAAATAGCCTTTAACTATGAAATAATATTGCTTTCGTAGAAAAAACCTTACAGTGCAATAAGATTAACAAAAGGACTATTACATTAGTTACAGTTACATAATCTTATTAAAAAAGAACTGAGATGGGAAATTAATAATAACAATTTTGTTGAAATTAGCAGAAGAAATTATTATGGTCTTAAGACTATTATAGCAGACTTATAGTAGTTTTTTGTGTTATTTAGTAATAATACAAAAAATTAATTACACTCTACCACCTTGAACTTATTATATCAATGTTTTCATTTTACTAGTTTTAGTAAGAAAAAAGCTCTACTTGTATTAATATAAGAATGCGTTTTACTCAACTCTATATTATCATGAATATGAAGATAAGATAACTACTCTTATTGAAATCCCAATAAATATAGTATATTTGATAAACATTTCTTTTCTTTATAAAGTTATATTATGAATTATGATTGAAGATAACTAATAAAAAGTCAGTTTAAAATAGAATCGGTTTAACTTTCGTTTAATGTTGATTTCAGAACTTTTTTGAAAGCTATAAATTAAGACTTCCTATTATAAATTACGTAATAAAAAAGACGTAGTTATTTAAACAAAGTAATATCATTAGATATTATTAACGTAACTTTTTGACAGAAAAAAAAAATTAATAATATTTAAAAAATAGTTTTTGTTCATACGAAGGTTGGGCTCATTGCAAGCTTGTATGTGAAGTTGTAAGTATAATGGAGACCTAATTAGAGAATGCTATTATACTTAAAGACCACTAGGAATCATCTACAAGTCTTCTGCTCTTATAATACAAGTTAAATTTTTTTATTATTATTCAAAAACGTATAATAAATAACATTTTTAAAATGGTAAAAGTATATTACGTGCTTGGTTTTATGTTTCGTATTATTTGTGTTTTTTTTTATTATTAGACCTATTACTAAACAACATTAATAAGTTATTTAATGAGGGTTTTAAGTTATACTTCAGTGACGTATTATTTTTATATTCGTAAACATTTTATTACGTGTATTTAAATTTTCGTAAATTTATTTTTTAATACAGGTTTAATGAACAATTCTTTGAGCTTTAAGTACTCTGCCTTAATACCTCAACTTGTTTATCAAAATGATGATAATCTCTCTTACTTTATGTTTGATAACTTTATTTAGCAAAGAAGCGCTTTGTGAAGATCGGTGTACAAACTTTAATAATTTCCCAACATTGTAAGTATTAATTATATTTTCACTTAGAGACTATCTATGACAAACATAGTTTAAATATAACATTACTTCATTTTTAAAAAATTTTTTTTTTTTTTTGCCGACTATTTTCGTAAGCTATGCAGAAAAGTTTGTAAGCTCAAGCAACTACTTCCTATTTACAAATTTAACACTAAAGGCGTGACAGCTTAATTCTAAAAGTTTAAAGATTTAAAGTAAATAGATAGTTAATTCTGCATTATGGCTGCTTAATTTTTACAACGATTATATATAAGATCTAGTAAAATATAATGTTTTGACTTTTGTATATTTCTTATGTAGCTCTCTCTCTGTATTCAGTTTTTTTCAGGTATTAGTTTTTATTAAGCGCTCAACTATAATTTTAGAATTTCAATTTAAAACTTAAAATCAAATTTAATTACTAATTTAAGAATTTAATGTTGTTTAGGTAAAGTTAATTATTATTATTTAAAAATTATAAGTATTTATTTAGTTTAAGAATATTAATAACAGTTTATTAAAAATTATAGGGACTTATCTCGTTGTTCTATTAAACGTTTTCAAAGCAAAGAGTCTCATCCAAAAGTATTGGCATTGTAAGCCAGCTCCTTTTACTTCATATATTACAAATTAACGTCACATTGAGATTTCTATCCGAGAACCAAATTGAGTTTTTACGTAAAGAAGCTTTTCGAGGATTCACTTCTTTAACTGAACTGTAAATAATTGAATTTCCATGTAAAAATATTAAGACTTCATAAATAAGAATAGGATTACAGCTTAAGTTACTTTACTTCCTAAGGATAGTTTTTCTACTTTTTTCTTTAACCTTAATTTCTTTTAATTTGCAAGAGTTTTATGTTTTCTGGGTTTAAATAAACTTTTTTTCTACTTAGGTTCTTTTATCTGTAACATTATTTTACCCATTAAACTGTTTTTTATTAAGGTTTATTTTTTAGGCGAAAATAAATATAATGCAATAACTTAGTCCAAATTTATAAGCACAATAAACGTTTATTTACGTTTTGTTCATTTTCTAATTGAGATGGCTACATAACAACCAGTTGAAGTCATTGGGCAACAATATTTTTAACAATCTCGATAATTTGCAAGTACTGTAAGTTTTACATTTAAGCGTGTCAAACTTTTGGTTAATTGTGGTAAGTAAAAACTTATAATTATTTTTTTGGTTTCTTCTTTAGATATCTAGATAACAACAGGCTTGAGTCAATAGCGCCGGATACTTTTTTCAATTTGACGAAGCTGAAACTCTTGTAAATTTTAAAGTTTAATAAATTTATAACCTGTTGTTAAGCTAAGTTTCAAATATGTTGATATCTTATTATTATAAAGAGTATATTTTTTGACAGTGGATATCTAATATATACTTTATCTCTTTTTTTAAAGTTTAATTAAATTTTTATAATTTTTTATTAATGTTATTTGGGAAGGTGGCTGGATAACAACAGACTCACCTCCCTGGGAGATGGTATTTTTAAGGATCTCGTTGCTTTAAGTGAACTGTTCTCTCTCTTTTCGTTTAATTATTATATATATTTATTTTTATGTGGTTTCCCATTTTCTTTATTAATTATTTCTATAGTCAATTTTTAATATTTAAAATGAATTACTAACATAACTTTAATTATTAATAATTATTTAATAACCAATCATTAAATTCAAAGACGGTTAGTTGGTAATCTTCTTACTGCCGTAACTTCTAATTTATTCAATGCCCAGGCTACTCTGCAGCACTTGTACGTGTAGTAATTAAAATTTTTGAATGTCGTATAGATGGTCTAATAAAAATAGTAACTTAACATAAACGTCAGAAATAAACAAACATCTGTTTAACTTTGGCTCTATGAAAACTATTTAGGTCCATTTTTAAGACTATAAGTTAATAAAAAAAGTTAGGAAGAAAGTATGCTAACTTTTTTACCTACTGAAAAGAAATAAATTTTTAAGTAAAATTTCATAAGTAATAATACTTAACTTTACACTTTATCATAACGCAGAGCACTCGGCTACAACCAAATTACTTTCATCGAAGAATATTCATTTCTAAAACTAACCAACTTACAATCTTTGTAAGACACTAATAATTTTTTAAGCGCATACCAGCTTATAGGATTGTTTTCTTATCTTATTTAAGGGATATAAGCTATAACAAACTTGCTTCAATAAATAATAAACACTTTAAGAACCTTTCTGAGTTGGTGGATTTGTAAGTCTATTATTGCTTAATAACAGTGAAAAAAAAATAAATATTCCTTTAAAAAAAGCACTACTTGCCTTATAATTTTTCCAAATACCAAAAAAAAATTGTTAAAAATTACTAAAATTTCAGGTTTCTTATTAGTTCTGAAATTTTGCATATAGAGTCTTATTCTTTTTCCGAATTGAATATGTTAACTTTACTGTAAGTTTTTGCTTAATCGTAGATGCTACCTAATAACCACAGGATTATTTTTACAGAGACTTGAGTGATAACGGTATAACTGAAATAGGTCTTAACGCTTTTCCTAACAATGGCTTGCAAATGTTTAAAATTTGTTATAAAAAATCTGTATAATGCTTCTAATTCTCTTGACAGAAAACTAACGCTTAATGAAAATTTGAACTGTTGCTCTCGGGTTCTTTACCAGGACTATCCTTTTTACACCAGCCAACGCTGCACTCAAGAAGGAAATATATACTTACTTAGTGATTTTTCAATAGACAAATGTAATTTCGAGCCTGAGAATTCCGTAAAGGAGAAAGTTGGAATACCACCAAGTGGTTTTAACGAAATGACAACAGAGAGGGACTCTCCAATTATGGCCTCAAAAGGAAGCAAAATTATTACTTTTATTTATTTAATTTTAAAAATATTTTTACACTTGTAAATAAATTTAAAAGAATTTTTATGAAAAGAAAAAGGAATGTAACCTGCCCTTTTTCCTTTTTACTATTAGAACTATATGATTTCTAACAGCTTAAATTTGCCTACGGTCTTTTGTTTCATGTTAGTAGGGTTAGGGTCAGGGTCAGGGTTAGGGTTAGGGTTAGATGTAATGATAATCTTTGCAAACAAAAATTATCATAAAGCTTCTTGAAGATACTCAAAATATTTCTTTTATCAACAAACTTTCGTATGCGGTATAGAATAGTTTTATTAATAAAAGTTTTTTCGCTAAAATCTCCAGAGGTATCCTTGAATCAAGCTTGACTGATTGTTCAAAAAAGTATCTTGAATCAGGATCCTTTCTGCTGCCTGGGCTTCTTCAGTGGAATTTGAGGGCACTTGATAAGCGAAAAAGCGAAAAGTTCTAGAAGAGGTCTTTTCAGTCTCTTTTATACCTTTTCAGGTTTATACTCGGAGAGTGGTATCCAGAATAATTAGAAATGTTCGGGAACATTTCATATAAAAAAGCTAATGACTTTAATATTAGGTTTAGGAACATTATAAAAAAGAATCAGTGCTAACTAGCTATCGTCCTTTTCTAATTTATAATGTTCCACTTTCCGAGTTTACGAAACGATTCGAACCCAATAATTCATTGATATTCCGAGGTCTGGAATATCCAATCGTTATAGGGCAATTATTTGTCATAGCTGATATGACATTCGTAGCGAGCGCATTTCTAATCCAACTTCGCCTCGGTCCGTTCGGGTCGTATCGAATATGAAAAAAGAAACGTTTCGTAAAGGTATGGTTGTTATCGTTGTTGTCTTTTTTTGATAACATTGAGAAAGCGTATCTAAATATCACATATAATCTTTTTTTGGAATGTCCCCTCTCCATTAACCTTGCAAAAAGTTTGGTACAACATGATACAAAATCCTCGCGAAAAGAATTTTGTCGGTAATATTTAGAAACTAAGCTTCTCACCATACCTTTTACAACTCCTGGCGGATGTGCCGAATGAGGGGTAGGATATAGAAATAAATTTGTATCCTTTTCCGCCGATGTTGTCCATAACATCGTACCATCCGTATGAATACAGATGTCGAGGAATTGTAATTTACCATCCTTCATAGATCCTTTGGTTCATTTTAGACCAGAAATACTGTTATGGATGGCCAGCATTTTTTTCTCTAAGAATCTCCCATTATCTTTTAAAATCACCAATGCATCATCCAAGTATCTTTTATATAAGATGACATTGGATTTTAAGAGAGGGTATAATTTGGTAGATTCATAGTAAGCAACATAAAGGGTTGCTATACTGGGGACTGCTGGATCCCCTATAGGAATGCCGTTCGTTTGAATGTAGAGCTTCTCATAGAATTCAAAATAACCAGTACTCAGAATTAAACGAAGAGCTTCTACAAACAAACCACCATGAATTGGTACAAAATGTTCTAGAATATATTTTTTAATCTCTTTATATGCTTCCATGGGGGAATGGAAGTATATAAGGCCGAAATATCTAGAGACATTAGTTCATGATGAGACGACAAAATGGTACCCGGAATAGCAGTCAGGATATCATCAGAATTCCTGATATAAGAAGGGATGGTGGAACCATTTCGACAGACCAGGAATAAGTGTATTAACACACGCAACTAATGGTCTAATGTCTGGTGCACATCTAGGAAAATCTTTTTTGTGTACTTTGGCTAACCCGTAAAAATAATAAAGTTTAGTCTTATCCAGATGATGTAAATTGATTCTGGTCAGTTTCATAAATTCATTATTTTTATCCAACGTTCTTTTTACCTGCTGATAAAAACCAAGAATCTTATCTCGACGCGTTGTCAATATCTCCTCTTTATTGCGCTTCTGAATTTCGAAATAAGAAATTTTTATTTGTTAGATGGTCGCTACACCATTTTACATACTGTATTGTGGTCATTAATGCAGGGCCTTGGTTTTTATCAGTATTGATCACTTTCAGATATTTGTTATTCTTAAATTCCTTTAAGAAAATTGTTTGAGTAGATTCTAAATTCTACTTGAATAGTTTTTCTATTCTTGTAAAACTTTCGAACGTGGAAAAAAATTAACTTTTAGACATCTGAAAGTATCAATAACCTCTCCCGGGACATTGTCCTGTATGAAAGATTTGTTGGACACATTGACATTGCTTTTGACAAAATTATTAGAGAATCAGCAAAGTGGAATGCTAAGCTGATTCCTCTCATCATGTTGTCAAAAACTTCTTCGTAGTCTTTCATGGTTAGAAAAGGGGGTGTGGGACAAAAGTTGAGCGCTAATAAAGATATAAATTGAGTTCCATTTCATTAGTTGTATGAATAATTCTATTATTATCTTTCCAAATATATGAATTTAAAAAGAAAATGGAATTGTTCTGGTTTATCTCTAAAGGCCAGCTTAGCTTAGTACAATCTGAAATATGGTTGATAAAGTCCGAATAAAAAAAAGTTGAACTTTTTTTTACCCATATGAGCAATGTATCATCCATATTTCTTTCATATAATTTTATATAAGGAGAGATTTTATGAAACTTTAAAGCTTCATAATACACTGAATATGAAGTAACCAAGGCTGGAGGCAGCGGAATTAACCATAGGATTCCCCGTTTAGTTCTTGGTAATAACATAACATTAAAGACATTATTATGTAATAAAAGATGGATCGCTTCATAGTATGTACAAAAAAATTTTGGCCTGGAGATCCTTTTAGAAAGAATGCTACAGAAATCCATCAATTTTCTATTGGAATACTTGTATAAAGCGGTTCTATAATGTCTTTACTTTCTAGTTTGATATCTTTTAATAAAGCTAAAAGGTTCTCAGGATTCTTTATAGAAAAGTTTTTCTTGCCCAGTCCTCTTGCCGATTTTGGATGTGACCTGTGCACCTCTACTTTTTACTACGGATTTGCTATTAATAACTTACTTATTTACATGTTTTATTACTACAACGAAAACTTTAATCACTACTCTATTTTAATATATAAACTAAGCCTAAACCAATACTCTTTATATAAATCTGTCTTACTCAATTAACTTTTATATATTAATTTTTATTTTTTACTATATCACTTCATTTACTTATATATATTGCTTAACATGTCTCTTGTTTCTTCTGGTAAAGATCCCGCAGCTTACATCACTGAGATACTAGCCATAAATGAAAAGCTATAAAAAGAATTAAAAATAGCGCAAAAGAGAATTAACGAGCTAGAATCTGTTCCCTTTACAGTTATTAGCAAAAACAAGCTAAATGCTATTTCAATTTCTTACAAACCTGCTCCTTTACCCAATGCCTGCTCAGATTCATTTTCTGGTCCATCTTACAAGGCCAAAGCACTGATATAAACGGATTACCGTCTTTACTGAGTGATTTAACTACTCAAAACTCAAACACTCAGCTTTCCAATCGACAACACCCCACAGAACAGAAAACTCCACATCTCAACTGCGAAAAACTTTCCGGAGACAAGGAAAATGTTTCATCTTAAAGTATTCGTGAGAAACAACGGTGGCCAGGTGTAGTTCTCTATTGCGTATAAGAAACGTGACCATTTTTCTTCTAAAAATATCCTTATTGCTGTCTTCTAATAATTTTCAACTGACCCAGAAAATTATTATTAGAAAGTAATTACGAGTTTTACAGCTTTTGAGAGTGGTACTAAAAGTAATTTTTCCCGAACTTGACAGTAGCGCAGTTGAGGAAGATTTACGCAGTCAAGATTTTCATCCATTAAAGGTTGTTCGTATGAAAGTTATTGGAAAGAACGAAAGGTTCTTATTTTAGTACTCGAACACTCGCCAAAATCTGAAGGCTCGGTATATAAAATAACATCAGTTCGTTATTAAATTACGTTTGAAGGACTCAAGAATTCAAACGTAACTGGCCGGTGCACCGCTGTCAACTTTTTGGCCATAATTATACCTTCTGTACCTCTGCCTTTAAGTGTATTAAATGTGGAAGCAACCAGGAAAATGGTAGCTGCACGAAGACGCCTGATGTCCCTCCGAATAGCGCTAACTGTCAAGGCAAGCACATCATTGACTGTCGAGGTTGCCCTTATCACCCAAGAAATTCTCAAATGCGCACCTCAACAAATCACAACAGAGCCATACTCCCAGCCAATTAATTGCATATCTTCCAAGAATTTTCAAAATAAAGAACTTTTTTCTCAGAAAATATTCACTAGTCCACAAGAAGAGCTACGCAATTGCCGTTAACATAAAGCCAAAGTCAAAGGACTATGAACATCATTTAAATAATATAAAAACGACCATTTTAGCAATGGCAAGAATGTTATATGATCTTCTTCTAAAGTCTTTATGATAACCTCTAAATGTCAGCTAAATATGCTCGCATTTTATTTTGGAACGCGGACGGTCTTTTGTGCAAAAGAGAAGGATTTCAACACTTTCTTAATAGTCAGAAAATTGATAATGCCTTAAAAAGTGAGAACCATCTAACATCAGGACACATCTTATAACTTGTTCTAATTACGAGCTTTACTGACATGGACCTACTTGAGAAAAGGAGAAGCAGCTATTATAATTAAAAAGCAGATAGCTCATTCATTTACACCGCTTGCCAACTTATAACTTATTGAAGCAGTGACCATCAAGGTCAATCTTTATGGCCAAGGGAACATGGTTATCGTTCCTGCATGCAAGTCTCCGGGACTGCTTTTGTTACCTAAAGAACGGGTCAGTATTTTTAACCAACGTGTAACTGGAATTCTTTCCAGGGATTTGAACTGCAAATATCCTTCTTGGAATAGTAAAGTGGGAAACTCTAATGGATTAAACTGTACAAGTACGCTGAAAAAAGAGGCTTTCTTGTTTCCGGTCTTTTAGAACCGACACACATATTTACAAAAGGGGTCTCAGATGTACTTGATATTGCCATTATAAAAAACATAAACGAAATGACTCAAACTTAACAACGCTAGTGGATCTCTCCTCGGACCTTTTCCCCGTGCTTTACGAAATTGGCCTTCAGAGTTTAACCCTTTGAAATATATACAGAGGTATACGGACTGGAATAAATTTAAAGAAGTGATTAAGGAAGCCAACAAGCACAATCCAAATACTTTTGCTTCATCATTTACTCTCAATAATTTGGTGACCCCAACTATTCCAGGGGTCTTTTCAGGTCTCCCTAGGGTTGGGGTTGGCTGTGATAGGAGTTTTGAGGGTTTGAATGTTTTACTAAAAATGTCGTTACAAACACACTCTCTCATGGCTTGTTGGTCAACCTCTGCAGATAAAATTATTGAGACAGGTCTCATTATCAATAAAATATTTTTATAGTTAACGAAAGTTTATAAAGGGTAGTGCTTGTTCCTATACTGGCTCGCCTATAGTATAGTATTAGTACTAATGATAAAGAGTGCTTCTAAGTAGTATATATACTACATTGAGTGCGGTGAGCCCTCTATTTATATACTATAAGATTTCAAACTATTTTAGCAAATCAATTTGGGAAGTAATAAAAAGTCATTATTACCCAATAAAGCTAATATTAAAAATAACCATAAAGCTAAACTTCTGTTATGTATTTTTAATCGCCTACAAAAATCACAGGTTTTTACATCTTTTATTTACTTCTTTTATAGATAAAGTTAGAAGTAGGAAAATTATTTAATCTTATAGGATTTCAAAAATCTGATTACTGTAACCTCAGTGAACTTTTCTTTTTAGGTTTGAAAGGAACCTTCAATTTCTTAGTACTTTAGGTGTATTACACTTTTACGAAACAACTATATAGTGTAAGCTACACTAACACCTATAGTTTTCCTAGACCTGCTCGAAGGTTCAACTTAAGTCCTTATTTATTTAACATAATATCTTGGTTTTTTACCAATATTTTGAGGTTATAAATTAGATGTTATAGAAAAGAATTTTTTAGAATTATAAATATGCAAACAATACTAAATTTTATCAGTTATTAAAAATTTGAAAGGTAATGTCAGTTTGTTTTGCTTTTAGTACGCCTGCGAAATATAGACTTGGTACGATAAACTATATAGCTAAAAAAGATCTTGTTATGGGATAAATATAAGGCCTCGCCGGAAGTATAATAATTTCAAAGAGTTAAGAGTACTAAATAGCAAGGAACACTTGAAGTTCTAAGACAAAAAGTAATTCAAAAAAATGTAATGTAGTCAAGTAAATTATTTATACTATTACTAATAGATATACCCACAGAAGTATGTAAACAATTCACTTGGTCGCAAAAATCTACCTTAAAAGATTTTATAGTTTGAGGTATATATAAAATATATATCTGATAACATAGTATGTAATGAACAAAAGGTAGAGATATCATTTATTTTAAGTAAAAAAAAAAACACACCAATGGACCCTAAAACAAAGGCATACAAAATTCCAATTCATCACAGTTTAACTTTAACCTAGACCAAAAATAATGAAAGCCATCAACCATTAGGAAAAAATCGAAAAGTAATAAAATTTATGGATTTTCCACAAAAAGATACTTTTTTAGTTTTATCAATAACTTTTTTTTAAAGGCCAAAATCTACTTAAAAATATAAAAATTTCTGGTATAAAATCTACAGGTGGCCTGCGACGGGCACCAAACAATATATTTAGAAATCCTCCTAAAGTAAAAGAGCCAGAACATTTGTATTTCTTCTATTGTTTTATGTAGTCTAACTAGATTGCCAATAGGGCCCATATCAGGAGATACTCTCAAAATGCAATAATCAACTTTATGACTTCTGTCTTCAGACCTCTTATGCCGTGCCCTAACGTCCCCTCTTGTTTATCCACAGTAATGCTATCAACCCTTTTTTTTCCAGTATTTAATTACCACCTCGCAGCACGGATTCAAAATTTGAATTTTTGAGGGTAACTATATGTTTATTAGGCACCTTTAATAATCTATTGCTAAGGTAATGTATGGTATATACAAATTTCTTTTAATAAAACAGATGGCTCGCCATATATTTTTTGCTCTTTCTTCCCTTCTTTCTTTTCGGTTTTTACCGGGTCTTTAGTGTTTTAGTTTTACGTTTGGTCTAGAGGAGCCAGTGATATTGTAAAGATAACAATTTTAGTGTAGAAAGGTAAAACAAAGACTAAACGCCTAGAGGGCGTTATAGCTGAAGTTAAAAAATAACTTAGTAGACTGGAGGACAACTAACTAAATACTAAGTTAAATACTTTTACTAAAAATATTTTTTTTAAACAGATTTAGATACTTTATTTAAACACTTTCGACTAAGATATTCAACAAAATCTAAAATCTAAAAGGGTTTATTCACCTCCTTCCAAAGAGTCTAGTAAATTCGGAATATAAGCGTCGGGTGTCGAGCCTTTAACATTAGTAGGTTTATCAGTACGCTGGTAATTCCTAAAAATAACAGTAGCTTTTTCAGGTTGCCTAGGGTAGGGTTTGTAATTTTTTAAAACAGAATTTAAATTGTTGCAATTAAATGTTTTAGACTATTCCGAAAGGTCAAAATAAATTTAGTTAAACCAAATAAAAACCCGACCTGCTAAAATAAGACGTGGGCCTGCTATTGCATGTTGCGATGTAAGTAGGGATAGGAAAGTGTTGTCAAGATCCAAAGTCCTCAGCTTGAATTGCCCATGGTGGTTGGTTCTATTATACAAATTGTGATTTACATATGTTAAGTTTTCTTATGGATCTTTAAAGTAGTGACTTTCTGACTTGTAAGTTTTTGATTTTTTTTGTTTTATGCAAATTGCTGTGCATTTAATAATATCTTAAAAAGTTATATATAGTGTCTAAAAGACCAAGAATTTATATGCTATTACTTTAGTAGGAAAAAGTAACTAAAAAAACTTTTTTTTTTAAAATTATAAATTTTTTATAAACGGCAGTGGGGAAATTCTAAGGCTATTTTTTTGTTGGTTTTAAAAAGTAATAAAAAGTTAAATTTTTTTATTAACACTTTATTGTAAGTAAAGTAATAGATTCCATTTTTTTATCATATTTTTTAGTCAGAAGACCTTTTTGCACAAGGCCATACAGATAACTTTCATACTAGTCAAGGGACGGCCTTCTTTTGGCATAGAATAAAATGTAAATGAATGCCACATGTAAAAATAACCAGTTTTGTTATATTTTTTAAAGTCTAAAGAACAGCTTTTCTTTATTTGCGCACACTTCTGCGCTGGTACAATCTCCCCTTCTACAAGAAATATGTTCTAAAAGAGTTGGCCCCTCAAGTTTATCAATACTTAAGTTTTCGAGAGTGAGGACTGATGTCTTAATAACGGTTCATAAATCGTTATTCTCTCGGCAAAGAAACATATCTTCTGATCTTTACACCACGCAAAAGAGTGCTTTGACTTGCAGATGTTATTAGTGAAATTTGAGATCCCTCTTCTTCGACACTTGGGACATTTAGAGAACCCGTCGAAAACTTCAAGTCCTCGGTCAAGCAAAAACCTCAATCAACAATTGAAAAAAAGAGACCTCGTTCGAGTAGGAAATATAATTATATTGCCTACTACGAAGCCTAAAAGGGAGAAAAACACCCACTTTAACTTTATTTAAAGGCGCTAAAGCTTCCCTTGAGTATACGTTAAAGAGTGGCTTTTACCCCTGACATTGTGGATATATACAGCGTTGGGCCATTTGGTCGTCAGGGCCTTCTAAAACACTAGTACTAAAGTTAGCACATGAGTTAATGTTAGGAACCCACTAGAGTTGGAATAGTTTCATGAATAAAGTAGTAAAATTAGTATTGGTGTTTAGATGGTAAACTTTCAAAGTAAGAAGCTAGTTCGACTCTGGCCAGTACAAGATTATAAGGATAATAGTTTTTGATCCTCGAATAAAAAAAACTAGGAAAACCCAAATTCTACGATTAAAGTAGGAAAAATAACCTTTCTATCTGGCTTAGTTAGAGTTTTCTCTACCATTCTCTTTAACTATCTTATAAATGATTAAAATGAAATAAAATAATAAATAATCTAATTAATATAGCAAAATATTAGAATCGAGTTGAAGTGAACAATTTCTTTGCTTTACTGCTTTCTTTGACTCTAGCTGAAAAGATAAAGTGGGCTATTTATTCAATCTTACATTCAAGGTAATAGTTGAACACAGTAAGGCGTGACTATGGCTCCAGGTGACATTATTCAGCATCAGCTTTCGCCTTGTGTAGCGGTAGCCGATAACGGACTACCCGAACACAGTGACCTAGGTTAATCAAAAAGATAGCTAAAGATTTACTGTTTAGTTTTGCTTAAACTGAGTGATACATTAGAGATAAGAGATGGTTATAGTCGTTATATTATGGAGAATTTATCCTTATTTGACTGAAGTCAATCAGTTGTCGTTCCGCTATTTTTAAAATCATCTAAGGACTCTACGAGGTCAAATTAAAATTAACTATCTAGTTAAGGTATCTTTGTATCGAGCTAGCTTCAAAGTAGTGTATTAGTTAGTGACATTATCACGGTTAGTCAGATCCATTCGACTTTGTCTAGTCTTTGGCTAAGTTAGAGACACTAGTATGTCCAGCGACTATCTATGGTGAACGGCTGCGGACAAAAGCTTCTATTGTACTCTAGAATAAAGTTTGGCTAACTAACTGAACTAAAAACAGAGCGTTTTGGGTTACCCTAATAAGAGGGTTGCTATGATGAGTGGTATTAAATAACACAATAAACATCGGTTCGAGATGCTTGTTTCTAACATTGTATTGTGCACTATTTTACTCATTTCCATATCTGCCATTTGTGAGATGTGCTTAACGAGCTAGACTTATTTGGCTAAATTTGTGCTGATTTTGACTAATTTTAAGGCTAATTTTTAGATTAACTTTGACTCCTTTTAGCTTAGTGTCAAGTCAGTAAATACTCTTCGCATCTATTCGAAATGCTTTATGACTAGCTGGAAACTAGCTATGAACTATTTGTAAAAAAAATATTATTATGCTAGAGTTAGAACTTTGTACTAGGCTTCAATAGAGTAGTAGCAGGGTTTCGGTACTAGACTTTCATGCTAACGGTAGCTTTAGGGGTATAACTCTAGTTATTAATGGTTAGACCGTAGTTTGCGCCGCTTTTCTTAGCATTTAAATAGTGCTTACTTATATAGGTTATAATTCTAGCATCATACTCCAAGACTAATAATGAAAAGTGTCAATTCGAAATATAAACTAAAAATATCCTAATTATTCTCCGTAGCTAAAGAAAAGTCTTGATGAAATTGGCTTAGTGTCTAACTACTGTAGCTTTGAGCTAAATCTGGCTGGGCACTTGTGGAGTTAGTTGTGAATAATAAAAGAGTACTTATTATCATGAATGGCAGCAGTTTAGCGTAGTATTTTTTAGAGAAAGTAGTATGATAGTGTTGTTTCCTTTACTAATGCAAACAAAAGTAGCGGCCCCTCCTTCCACTTTTACGGGTAATAGTACTGTTTATGCCTTTTGGAGGGTCTTTTTGCATACTTCATCTTATATGTTTTATTAAGCTATCCCAACTCGAGTCCTACTTTACTCATTCGAGTTCAATCCAAAAGAGTCTTATGCTCTTCCAAGGTGAAAGAACTTACTTAAAAACTTCAACTTCAATAGGTGGATACTAGTAATAATCTCACCAACTAGGAAGTAATCTTGGTTTCTAACTTTGACCCTAGTCAAAATCGAGACTCTGCTGCCTGTTACTGAATCTCTTCGTGTGGTAGTAATCTCGTACTTATTTCCGAGTATCGACGAGTGGTCTATAGATCTGGACAGTGATCTCTAAATTTCATTAAGTTCAGTGAGGTGGGAAGTCCTTGAGCTTTATCTTTATCATTCTGCATTGATAGCTACCTCTAACAGATTTATTTGCATCCATTCAAGGTGCTTACCTTGTGCTTGACGCCTTTGCGTTCTCTAACTAGATTTGTTTTGTTAGAGTTATGACCATATTGCTTTAAAGTTAAGTAACACACAAAGAGATAACAACTCTTTCACTTAATTTGAAGCTTCGCGTTGACTACTAACCTCCTTTTAGATACAGTTTTAACCCTAATTTGCTTAAAAAGGCCTTGGGATTTCCTTGTTGAACACTTTTGTGTGAACATGCTAAGTTACTCAGTTAAGCTCGTGTTCCATGCAAGTAAGTGCGATTATTTTTAACTAGAAAGTATCCTTGATTGTTATCGTTATCAATTGTTAAGTGACGTTTCTTGAGTGCTGTTACCTACTAATAATACTCAATGTTATTAAACTTTTTTATTATTATTTAAAACAGAGCTATTATCTAGTATATTTAAATACCAGAATCTCTCGGGGCTCGTTGCACTCGCTCGTCCGGTGCGAGTATTTTATCTTAACTTTTGAATCTTTTTATCATATTTTTAGCGCGGGACGTCCAAGGCTTCCTTGGTTATCGCTGCGACCACAGCGAGGCTAGCGTCAGTTATCCTTTAAAGATCCATACATGGCCGCTATGCAGGCTGGTGCAATTTAATGGTAGCATTAGGTGCTCTTTTGGTGCCTTTGACCGTTTAATTGAACCTAACTGATGAAGCTTCGGGATTTCACTGTACATGCTTTAACGGTGCAAAGATTGCTTTTTGCCGCCAGAGCGTTATCGTAAAGTGTTCAAAAAAGATTGGCCCTATATATTAAATTAGCGCTCAACTTAGGCGTTAGTCCCAACGAGTTTCCGATGGTTTCGATCTAGGTTACTTAATGGGTTGCCATCCAAAGAGTGGAATGTTGCGGGCAAGTAAACTTAACTTCAACGGGCCATTTATATCTCTACTCTGCAAAGAAGTCAGAACTTGGTGTCAGTAAAAACTGAAACAATCTACTTGAGATTAGCTATGACACTAACGGCTAATTAACAGTGAAATCCAATGCAGCGTGATTATGGTAACTTCCTTATTAGAGTTCTGTGTTGTGAGGTTTCTGCAGTACTTGGGAGAGTTCTACAGTTGCAATAACTAGCTGAATTAATTAATCAAACATATACTAAGGACGCACGGGTCGAAAGATCTGCTTTTAAAACTGGTAGAAACTCTAGGTTGGCTAAAGACCTTCGGGAAGGTTAAATCTTACCTGTATCTTAGGTTTTAACATTATGGTTAGTAACGTATTGCTCACTAACGAGACTTGGTCCTAAACGGATAAAATCTAAGAGGACTTTATAGCTAAAGCCTAATAATAAACACACAAACAGATCACAACTGTTTCACTTATTAGGACAGCTCCGCTTTGAGTACTAGCATTGCCTTCCGTGGCAGTTTTTTGTAATATACCGAGGAAAAGCATGGAAATCCTTGGCTGAAGCCTTGGTGGACTGTGCTAAGTTGCTAAGTTAAGATCTTGTTCAGTGCAATTAGGTGCGGTCAAAAGCAAACATGAAACCTAGTTTAGCAATGAGCGATGATAGCAAAGATTGTTTGCCTCCTTCCAGGAACACCGGCCACTGATTCTCCTTGTAGCTTAGGTTCTTCCCTTGTCTCATTGGACTTGGTGGCCGGTGTGTAACTCCACTGTAATAATGTGTGTTACTATAGTCTTAGCTACTAGTACTATATATATAAGGCGACCAAATTGATTAATTTATTTTGTATGGTGTTAATATTAACTGCTAAAACTCTCCGAGCGAAGAAGCCAGTTGAAACCTAGCCAACACTTTATTTTAGTCTTTAGTTTAGTGCTATTTACCCATAAGAATCAAAAACTTTAACCTGCTATCTTTCTACGGGTATAAGCACTGTCTTTGACACTTTGGGCGGGTTATTAACGAATTAAGTCGTTTAAAAACCCGTATAAGAGATAAAAGCTAATTAGCTCTTTCTCGATGTGTACTCTTTCTCTCCTGCACGTGGCATCTTTTGTATCAGCGCAGGAGCTGGCGTCGCATCCTCCATTGGCTCGACCACAGCGAGGTACGCGTCGGCTATCCTTTAAAGATTCAATTTTGGCAGCTGTGTAGGTTAGGCTGTTAGTGGTAGCACTAGACTTCTTTTGAGGCCTTTGGCTGTTAGCAATCCTCGGTGCTGGTGTACACTCATTAATGGAGCGAGGATTGCTTTTAGCCGCGAAGCCATTATCGTCAAGAGGTCGGAAAAAATCATCCCTATATAAAAAAGCGTCTACCATGGATGGTATTTTTTTAGGCTTCACGATGGATTTCGGTGTAGTGTTGCTATTGGGTGCTATCCAGAGATGAAATGGCGTGCAAATGTAGGCTTATCTGCCGCGGCTCAGGTCACCCTCTTCTGTTCGGCAGTGCATGGCGGCTGTTCTTGGAAGCTCACTGTTTATTACTTCTCATTCATAGCAAATTATGGCAGTATCCGAGTTAATGCTTCGGGCTACTTTATGGAATTACAAACCAATGGACCGTGATTATGTTACCTTCCTGCGGTGTGCTTTAAACTCAGGGCTGCACGTTACTCTGGAAAGCTGTAATTTCTTTACTGGTCGTATGGAAAGATAGACCTTTAAAATTGGTAAAACCTTCATATTAGCTTGACTTCTTTGGCAGATGTCATCTTCCTTGCGTCAAGGAGCGTACGTGATGGTTATGCACATGCCTTGCGCCTGGTGCCTTCGTGTTTGGTACTAGAACCGTATAGCTCTATGACCAACCTTAAGAGGGTATTGACTATTAATTAGTAAAGGCTAATTAACCTTGAACTTTTTAGAATAACGCCGAAGTGAGGTATTCTGGCATTGACTTCTGAAGCTATTTATTCTTAGACTTAGTAAATGAAGAGCATTTTGAGCCTTTACTGAAACATTAGCAATATTGGCTAAGTTGCCAGAGTAAAACACTGTCGGCGCAAGTTACAAAGACAAAAGCGAACTTTGTGGCTGCTCTGGCGATGAGCGGTGACTAATAATAGTATGCCTCGTTGCTAGGTCAATGGTACATTTCGGCATTTGGCTTATCTATCTAGTGATAGGTCAAGTAGCCCTTGAACTAATACTGTCTTGGCTAAGGTGTCGGAGTGCATCAGTGTTAGTGACATGTTGTTAAGGTCGACCTAGCTAACTGATCGAAGCAACGTGAACTAAATAGTGTCATTAATCATTGTACTTATTACAGAGGCTCTTTTACCTCAAGCTAGGGTGGGTTTGTCACATTTTAGTTAAATAAAATTATTTGTAGCAAAATAAATAGTACTTCTTTTTTCTTGTTTAGTCTGTTAAGCTCTATTTTACGTATCACTGCGATGTTATACGAGAGTATTTTGGTTCAGCTTTGTAAACGAGTAAAGCATGGAAGTTTACTGTTAAGGTTGAGGAGAGATTACAATATCTAGTAAGTCTTGCAATTCCCATTTGTTCAATAGTTTTGAAAATCGTGCAACTTTCTAACAAATGATTTTTTAAACATGAGAAAAGTTTTATTGATTTATTTCCATGGTTCTGCTAGCGTAGACGTTAAGTTTACCTACTAAGGTTAGTTGACTTTTTTTTAAATATTTAGATTATTGAAAGTGAAAGGGTTAGGTTGGAAGAGCTTGTCATCGAACACGCTGTATTCTTGCTAACTGATAGTCGTGAAAGCAGTTGGTTGCCCACTGTCCTTTGCCAGGCTCATGATAAAGTTAAGCAGCTTTTAGATTTTATTAAGCTTCATCTGTTGAGGATAAACTAATAGATTTGTATGAATACCGCTTTGGGTTTCGATTCTTTTGTGGTTATGCGCCATTGAAATTACGATACTCCTATTTAAAAAACGCTTGAGTTATTAAAAAACTATTATTAAGATAAAATAATGATAGTAGTCGGTATAGAAAAAGGTTTTAATTGAATATTTTAATTATTTTCATTTAAGGTTGTTTACTTTTGCTCGGATGTTGTGGCTCCAGTGAATAATATTTATACAAACCGTTAATGTGACTCTTTGCTAATTATCTACATCAAGTCCTTTGAAAGCAGAACATTGGACCAGTAGTGCACATTGACGAGGCCAGGCCTATTTCGACCACTAGTATATCATCCTAATCAAATCAAAAAACTTGACTTTGCTACTATAAATGCACTCTAATTACTACATGTTCCTTCAGTATACATAATAATGCAATGGTGGGCGTCCCTTATAATTTTAACTTTTTTTTTTTAAGCTATTGCATTATGGGCTTGCAATATATAATAATCGTGTGCTAATAAAATACCTTTTTGTAAAGACTTTCCTCTACCTTAATCTACATATAAGTAATACAATGTCGCAGTTTTAGTTTAACAGGATAAAAGGTTGACTAAAAAAAAAATAACTAAAAAAGATATTATACCGAGGAAACCTGCTAATTTTTTATAAATAGGCCTTCCCTTTATAGCAAGCATTTTAACAGTAGAATTGTTTGTTTCCTTTTTGCAGTATCCGGAAAGGTCAGTTCATTTATATTTTTAATTATTTTCTCTGAACTTACAACCTTAAGTGCACTTGCACTAAAATACGAGTACTAAAAAAAATTTAACTTTAAAATTACTTTATATACCCTTTACTATTTTGTTAATATTGCCTAATATTGTTACCCTTTCTCTCTCCAGCACTGAAGTTGAGGAGATCCCTTTGGGTACTCCATATTATATGGTGACCGAAGCAAGCTTTTTTTAATTTTGATTAAATAATTAGGAATAGTTCCTCACCAAATTTAAGGGTTTTTGTCCCTATATAATTTATTAATATCCCGTGGGGAAGCTTTTAGTAACTGCGTTTATGCTCTGAGAAGGTTAGCAATTAAATCAATTACAATGAATATTATAAATATTTAAAGTCTTGAAGGTCCTGCATGCCTTTTGGGATAACAAGGAAGAATTGTTATTAAAGTGTTGCAACGACGCTCTTTACTTGAAGGAGATTACCGAGTTGGCATTTACGAAAGAAAATATTGATCAAGTAAATAGTTATTGTGTTTGGTCGCCTTATTCAGTAGTTCTCTTACTGGCGTTTTATGAACAGTTCTACTTGGACTCTGATCTTGAGGATAATAAAGAGGATTAATATTTAATTGCTTCATCATTTTGCAGCTATACAAAATAACTTAATAAAATGGACGTTTCTTTATAGGGGGTATAGAATTGCAACCTTGCCGAGTTCTTAGTCCGACAATCTGACACTCCCGTCACGCAGGCTAGGAGCGCACGTTTATACTAAAAGCAGAACTTTTGTATCAAGCAGTCGATCCAACACCAATATTTTATTTTCATTTGATATGCAATAAACGCTATGCAGATGTTTAAAAATTAATAGAATTTTTGTAAACGATGTCATTAGGAAAGCCAATGATGGAAGATGAATAAATAGATGCACCAATTAAATTACGCTCGTGATAGCCACTAACAAAAATTATATACTAACTTCAAAGAATTTATGACATAGTGTGTATACTAAAAAGTTGTTAAGTTACTACATCGGTTGGTACACTAAAGCAACATGCCCTTACCCCTAGAGAGCCGGTTTTCACGAGAAAAGTTAGAAATACCAGTTTGGGTTCCAAGTTCTGTAATGCCCCGGGGTTTTTTCAGGTCCCCAAAAGTTTGGGGTTGTTAGGAGTTTTGAGGGTTTGAATGTTTTTACAATAAATTATAAACACACTCTCAGGGCCTGTTATTTAACCTCTGCAGATAAAATTATTGAGGCGGGCCTTATTATCAATAAAATATTTTAGTTAGCGAGGCTCTAAAATTTATTTATAATCTATAAGATTTCAAACTATTTTTACAGTTCTATGCTGAAAGTAATAAAAATATTATTATTTAATAAAGCTTATATTAAAAAATAACCATAAAGCTGAACTTCTGTTATTTATCTTCTTTTTATAGACAACTAATTTTATTGTTAGGATCACCACTTTTGCATTTCTTAAAACCAACACTTATTGGAACTTTTCTAGCATTTTTGGATGTCGAATTTACAGAGGGTGTTTTCGATACCTCAATAGAACTCTTGATAATGCAAAAACGTGGAAAGTGCATGCTCCAGCTTATGCTTGCTTGTTTATACCAGAGTTAATTATCACAATTCTCATAATTCATACCTGTTGTATGAGTGAAAACCATAAGCACCAAGGAATATTCCATCTAAAATCTGTTTTAAAAAGCAATTTTTTTATTCTGGTTACTTTGGATGTTTGTGGTTGTTTGCTCACCCTTGCTTCAGTCCTTATTGGCGTCAATAGTACTTTTTCGGTTATAGTTAAACCCTTGAATCTTGCTAAGAGTGCGTTTCCACTGATTCTTACTTTGGATGCGATTTTTATAAAGATGGAAAGCCAAAAATTAAAACTGGGGCCCTTCCCGGATGAAGCGGGAAGAGCGGCTTTTAGCCAGATTTAGTACTTTTTATTTTTTTAAAAAAAGAATTAAGATTAGGGGCAGCAACATTAATAAGAGTCTTTTTTATAATTTCATTCATATCATAGGTGTAACTTAATATTGCTATTATTGTAACTTTTATTGTCAACTAATAGACAATGGAAACTTTAATGGCTAATGCACTTAATGTACTTTGAGAGCTTGCTTAAGACCTTTTCAATTTTGAACTTTATTATACTGAATTTTTCATCTTTTAAGAGTGTAACAAAAAAATATAAGAAATTATGACTTAAAAAGATCTTTTTCTAGTTTTTATTACAACCACTTATAGAAACTTTGTTTAGTTGTTGGCTTACTGTTAAAATTACTACGGTTAAGCATAGACGTCAAAAAGAGGAAGGCAATTTATTACATTATTATTTACTACGCTTGACTAACTTTCGTGCAATGCTAAAGTATCTATTTAAGTTTCTGGTTTTATAAAAAGATGTACATATAAGCTTATATCTGTATAATTATAAAGATTGTTATCACATTGTGCCAAACCTCAAACTGGGCTCTAAGATTTTCAATAAAAAATGGACCAGAAAGTTTGTATATTTGTACTCCCTTTTAAATGATATGTAAACACTAAACGCCGAGGGACTTAGTTTAAAAGTTAACATACTTAAGGGTAAAAAAAATAAACAAATTGCCAATTTTAAATTAAGAATGACGCAGTTCCTGACCGGGACATTTGTGTTTCCTACTGAACATTGGAGTAACGGTAATTACCAAGTTCTGTACAGATTTCAATCTCTACTCTTGCACCCTTTTAAACTGTTTTAGGCCAGGTTTCTTTTTAAACTTAGTTTTTATTTTATCTACAAAATTGAATGGTCTTCCTTTTCAATCAAAAGTTTACAGATAAACCGTTTGCCGCTCCTTACTACTAAAGCTTTCTTTGTGGCAAAGGGTTAAGTACTTCTCTAAAGGTGAACTAACAAGTGCCACTAAAAAGGTTGATGATATACGCTCTTAATTTAGTACCTTACTACCATATAAAAACTGCAAATATTACGAAAAAGGTCACTAACTTTACCTAGCCAAAATTTTATCTCGCGTTACTTATATATGCCTCTACTTTTAATAGTGATTGTTTAAAAAAATAGAAAATCCTGCTTTGCGAGTGTATTTTCGCTTATTATGCAGAAAAGAACATTTACTTTAACTCTTCAATGGAATATGCTCTACTTCTTTTTTTTAACTTTTGTTCTAGGCCATCCCTTCATAGTTCCTTTTCACTCTATTCGATACCCTTTTCAGTACTTTGTATCGTTTTTGCTCTGTTTACATTTTAATCTTAAACAATTCTTCTCCTTATGGAAGTTTATTGTTTCAACTCTTCAAGAATGTTAATCCATAGAGAAAAAGTAGAAAGTTTTTAATGAAGCACACCTATAAAACACCTGAACCCGGCGCGGGTGTATATTTCAAGTGCTTAAAGTTATTTATTAGTAACCTATCAAACTAACTTTTAAAAATAAAACTCGAACAGCATATTATTAACCATTATTTTAAAGGAAGCCCTTCCGTTCTTATTTGAAGTGGAGTTTCCGTACAATTCACTTTATGAAACCTTTTTTTTAACATTTATTGTAAGAACGAGCAAACGAATAAGCACGTAGCTTGGGGTAAGTCGCACCTAACTTATTTTGCATAAGTTTTTGCTTATCTTTTTTTAAATTAACTGATTTTTTACTGACCCCCATATTGAGTTGACAGTAAATTTTTTGGCTATTGGGGCTAAAAAAGTTTAACTATTAAACTTAGACCTCTTTATATATAGTATTATGCAGTAATGAGCGTCAGAGAAAATTGAAAGCACGTCAACTGCCGAGGTAATCCACTTTTCAGCACGGAGGATAGACCAATATTGGCTTCCTTAAAAGCCTTGTCAAGTCTCATTATTATTGGTTTAGAAATCATAATTTAGAATATTGTCAGATTAAAAAACGGAATATTTTTCCTGAACAATAATTTTTTTAACTATATATATCTACAAAAAAATCTTAAAAATTCTCCTATAAATCTACAAGCGCCTGCGACGGCGTAAAACAAAGAACTTAAAGTTTTTCTTAAGTAAAAGAGCCAGAACTTTTGTATTTCTTCTCTGTTCTATTATGTAGTCTAACTAGATTGCCATTAGGGGCCCATATCAGGAGCTATTCCCAAAAACTTACAATAATCAACTTCTTATGTCCTTATAACCTTCTATGCCATGTTTAAACGTTTAATCTTGTTTATCCATGGTAATGCTATCAACCCTTTCTATTGAGATATCAACAAAATACAAAGGAAGGTCTTCCACTTCCTACAAGCGGCACTGCTACATTCGGGTTATCTAAAACGTCAGATACTGGACTTTTAATGTCAATAGGTTTATCACTACATTGATAATCCCCAAACATACCTTAAGGTTATCCATTTGACGCATTTTTGCAGACCTTTGGTCTTGACAGAGTCGCGCCACGTAGGGCATAGGGTGTGCTCACCTCAGTGCCATGTTTCCTCACGGCATCGTGGGGTGAATTCATCCCTTCCAAGCTACTGCTAGATTGAGATAATTTATTACGCATATGTGTTTGAATAAAGTAAAGTGTGTCGGCAAACTCTTGTTCCATACCTCTGCTTGAAAAAGCCTGCATTCCATTTCTGTCGAGCTGTACACCAAGCTTAACAGGCTCAAAGTATGCGTGAGTGGCATTACCATCAAGACCAAATAAAATTTATCCATATACGATTTCTGGCATTATTAATAAGAAATTTATTGGGGTTAAAACGTTTATGCGATCCAATAATTTAGTTTTTCGACAACTATTAGCTTCTATCCTCTTGCTAGCATCTTTTAAATTGATAATGGACCGGCAAAGAAAAAAGTTGTAGTTAAGATCATCGGCAAGCTTAAAATATTTTTAATTTTCCTTTATGCTTATTAGGCCTTAAATTAAACACTCCATTTCTTATAAATCCCATTAACTTTAGCAGTGCTTTTAGACCTCACCTCAAGCATCTAGGTTACTTTATACAATTTTTCTCTATTTTTTTATATGGTAGCTCCTTTTGAGTATCCAACTAAATTAAACTTAATACTTTAAAATTTTAATTTCCTGGAATAGTTTTAAAGGTGGTATATGACCTCTTCTTAAAATGTTCTCTAAACCTTTTTAACATTCTTCATTAGTGCGTTTAAAACATCTACTAACAATTTGAGTCCTACATCTAAAAGGAAGCTTTAAATATGATTTACCAACCAAGGAAAAGAAAGTTGAACGCATATAACTCTTAAAAGAAATAACATTATTGTAATCGCTCTCTCGAAGAAAACGTATTAACTTTAAAGTCGAAGCATTAACTGGGTAGAATTGAGTATGTTCGAATGTACAATAATGTCCTTAGTCTCGCTTTTTCCCGCAAATTCCATGTATAAAACCGTTTTCAAGGTAATCTTTAAAGAGGGACTGATTCTTTTATTATAATCCGCCCAGTTAAATAAAGTTTTGCAATAAGTGAACTTTCTCTTCTGGAAGACCTTTA